GCTCAAATAACTGTTTTCCCCTCCCTAGGATAGACTAACTCGTGGATTCCACAGCAGGCACGAGTTGTTGAGTTTCATGGATGCCTATTCAGGTTATTGTCAAAACCCTATGCATCCCGTAAATGAGAAAAACATTTCTTTCATTACTGATAGAGACCTCTATTACTACAAGGTGATGCCAATTGGGTTGAAAAATGCTGAACCATCTACCGAAGGTTTGTTAAAAAGGTTTACTATTTTCATTGGCAAGACCATAGAAGTATATGTGGATTACATGCTTGTGAAGAACCTTTAAACAAAAGGCCATGTTAAGCACATAGATTCTATTTTTCGAATTCTAAAGAGGTACAAGATGAGGTTAAACTCCCTTAAGTGCGCATTTGGTGCACCATCGGAAAGTTCCTAAACTACATGGTCAATCAAAGGGATATTGAGGCTAACGGCAGCCCTAAGTCGTTTTAGCTCAAAAGTCATCAATATGTACCTCATCTTCTTGAAGATTCTCAAAGGAAATAGACATTACAATGGAATAAGAAGTGTGAAGAGTTTTTTCAAGGGCTGAAAAAAAACTTGGGACAAGTCCCATCTCAAAACCAAAAGCTAAGGAGTCTCTATTACTTTATTTAGCTATATCTAAAGAATCAATAAGGTCAATTCTTATAAGAGAAGAAGGAAATCTCCAATTTCTTATCTACTACGTAAGCAAAGCCCTCTCCTCCATCAACGTTTCCAGAAAGTTGAAGCAATACTCAACTTTTTGGTCCATATCATACGTGTACTAACTAAATTTCAACTCAAATAAGTGCTTTAGAAGCTCGATGCTTAAGGAATGTTGATGAAGGGTTGTAGAGTTGAGCAAATTTGATATTACAAATCAAGAGCCTCCATTAAAGGGCCAAGCCCCTACTGACTTTTGTAGTGAAATTTACCAATACCCCTGAAATAGAGGTGGCAATGGAACTCGTAGAGCTCCCACTTGGAGCCTTTTAATCAATGGCTCATTTGGAAAATTTGACTTCAAAGCTGGAGTGGTCTTTGTAAGCCTAGAGGCCATAAAATCAATTCTGTGGTGAGGTTCGAATCCAAGTGCTCTAACAATATTGCCGAATATGAGGCGCTCTTAACCGACCTCAGATTTACTAAGGAGATACATGTAAAGAGGTTCCTTATTAGTATCGAATCCTAACCAATAATGAGCCAAGTCAACAGCTACTTCGCCACAAGGGACAAAGGCAAGGCAATATACCTTAAAAAGTTATAGACCTTCTCTCACATTTCAAAAAATTTGAGTTGGCACAAATTTCGCGCCTTGAGAATGCTTATGCTGATGTCCTTTCAAAGTTGGCAAACAACAATGATTCCTAGCTGCTTAAAATAGTATCATTTGAGTACTTCGCAAGACCCTCTATCTCCAAAGGGAAAGAGGTGATGTAGATTGAAAGTACTCCATCATGGATGCAACCAATTATTGCCTTCCTCAAAGATCATATCCTACCAAATAACAAAGATAAAGCCCATAAGCCTAAGGGAAGAGTTGAATACTTTGTTTTGCAAGATAGTATCTTATATAAAATAAGCTTCTCATCTTTTCTCTTAAAATGCACACGAGGAGAAGAAAAAACCTATGCCCTCCAAAAAATTTACGAATGGATATATGGCAACCACTCTGGAGGACCTGCACTAGTACAAGGTGCTTAGGCAGGAATATTATTCACATACCTTGAAAAAGGATGCACTTCAATTTGTACAAAAAATGTGACAAGTGCAAGAGATTCTCTAATGTATAGAGATAACCATCCTAAGAGCTTTTATCGATATCTAGCCTTTGGCCATTCACCAAGTGGGGAATTGATCTGATAGGCCCTATGCCAAGAAGAAGAGGCAATGCAAGTTATGCCATAGTCACCATCGACTACTTCACAAAATAGGTAGAAGCAGAACCTTTGCCCAAAATCAAAGAAGCTAACTCTTCCAAATTCATCGGCAGAACATCATATGTTGGTTCGGCATTCTTCACTCAATTGTGTCAGATAATGGATGACAGTTCGACAATAAAAGGTCAAAAACCTTTATGATGATCTAGGAATCAAAACGAACTTCTCAACACCTCATCACCANTTATTATCTCGTTAAAATGAAAAATATGATCGTTATCCATCACATCAACATTTAAATTCAAATTTTCTATCTCTTATGTGGGCCCCAATAACGACTATATTTTTCATTCTCATTCTACAATAATTTGGCTCAAACAGGAGCTAAGAAAGGTTTTCACCCCCTCTAAAAAGTCGGGTGTAGGCACATTGAGCTCCAATTAGGAAAGACCATATCACATCAAGGAATAGCTATAACTTGGTACTTACAAAATTGAGGACCTGGATGAAAATGCACAGCTTTATCCATAGAACATTGAGCACTTAGAAGTTATTATCAATGAGCAAAGCTCATAACCTCTGCTGGAAAATCTTTCCCAACTTATGTAAAAATGTTTTCTCCAATATAATGAGTTTCAACATCGAGCCTTCACTTCACCATAATCCCTTCCATGGATGAACCATCCACTATGAAAGAATCTTTTTACATGGATATTCTAACACCACGCAAAGATGTCCATTGCGAAAGGAGAAGTGTGGAGCACACCCATAGGGCGTTTACCTCAGATACCTTCAAAGATGAAGCCTTCCATGAATTTCATCCACCATGGGAGAATATCTTGAGATGGATGATTCACACCATGCAAGGAAGTTTTTCCATTTCGAAGGAAGAACCATCCACCATGGGAGAAGTCTTTGACATAGATGAGACACCCCATGTAAGAAAATGTGTCCACTTCGAAGGGAAAGGTGTGAAGCACCCCACAAGGGGCCCACCTCCAATACCCTCGAAGATGAAGCCTTTTATGGATGAACCATCCACAATTAGATAAGTTTTTGACATGGATGTTCTAACTCCATGAAAGGATGCCCATTTCAAAATGAGACGTGTCAAGCACCCACAAAGGGAATATCTCGAATACCCTCGAATATGAAGCCTTTCGTGGATAAACCATCCACCATGGAAGAAGCCTTTAGCATGAACAAGCCACTCTCATGCATATTATCTCATTCTACAAAGAAATGTTTTGAAGAGGCCCCAAAATGTGTGTATATCAATTTTGACGAACCCTACAATGACAAACCACTTCCCGTGTCAGATATCATTATCGCTGGAGCTATTCAACCTGTAGGATTTGAACTACGTAGCATAAAAGGTCACACTATATCAACAAATAGAACCTGTTACACTTAGAAATTATTCAAAGATAAAGTTCCTTGAATGATCTTGGCCGAGCCTATATAAAGTCTATTTGAAAGGAGCAAATCAGTTCAAAATCATTATTGGCTTAGTGAAATAATCAATTCGGTATATCGTTGGGTTCGATTAAGTGAGACGACTCAGATTATTTCTGGGACTAGTTTAGACATTCAGCTTAGTTTATCGTTAAATTCAGTTTGTCTTTATTTGGTGACATGTTTAAAATTGTGCAACTAAGCAAATTGCAAAAAGAGAATTAAAAAAACAAAGGTTGTTGAAAATGCATTTCATTCATTTCGAATAGGAAGTATTACAAACTAGAGGTAAATGTATCGGAAATTAAAAAATTAAAAAAAGAAGAAGAGCTTAAGTCCCAAGTATTTGCATCATGCAACTAAGGTTACTAATCATCTTCTATGTGTAGAACTAAATCTTCAAACGGATCTTCAGTTGGAGTAGCAGGTTCTTTGGGAAGGAACTTCTCTTTAAAAGTCGACAAATCTACTGAAGGGTGCAGTTCAACCATTTTTTTATAACCTCATCATATGCGACCCTCATCGTTTCGTGAAAATGCTCTAGATAGTTGTTGAATGCTGATTCACTCGCCATCTCTATTTGCCGCTTCAGATTAACAACCTCAAGAGTCGGCTCTTCAACTTTGGACCTTAGGCCTTTCTTTTCCTTATTGGTCGCTTTCAAAGCCTCTGAAGAGTTTTTCTAAAGATTGTGATAGGTCTCCACCCGCTTAATCAAATTAAGCACTTCAGATTTGGAGAGGTGGATTCTTAAGTTCTTTATTTTCAGCAGTAAGGAACTCCACTTTAGATTCCGCCTCAACTTGTTTTAACTTGTCAGCTTCAACCTCTTCAGCAAACTTCAAGGTGTCTCCCTTCAGCCTCTGCCCTTCAACCCTTTTTTGAAGGTCCTGATTTTTCCTTTAAGGCACTTTATTTCAAAATGGGTGGCACATATAAACCTATAGCACGAGTCTATAGGGCATTACCCGCCTCCATCAGGTCCAGAACATCGCATGACTCAACGTGAATGGCATATTTTTCGGACCAATACTTATTGTAGACCTTTGTAGCCATCTAGACATTGGCATAACCACCCAATTTCATATAATATTTTACCATGGCCACCAACTTCTTTTAACAATTTTCATTAATTTTAAATGGAGTAAAATGGTAACTTTAAAATAAATTTTAAACAAAAAAATAAAAATAAAACTTATTTTAAAAATAAAATAAAATAAAATTTTATTTTTTTAAAAAAATGTTACTTAAAAAATAAAATAAAATAAAAACTTATTTTAAAAAAAATATTTTTAAAATAAAATAAAAACTTGTTTAAAAAAAATTACTTAAAAAAATAAAATAAAATAAAAACTTATTTTAAAAAAAATATTTTTAAAATAAAATAAAAACTTGTTTAAAAAAAATTACTTAAAAAANAAATTAGGTGGTTATGGTGAAACGTTATATGAAATTAGTTGGCTATGATGATACTAAATATAAAGTTGGGTGATCATGATGAAATAAAATTAAATTGAGTGAAAATGTTGACATAAGTATAAAGTTGGATGGCTATTGGTGAATTTAACCTGTGATAACAAGATTTTTAATGAGTTCCTTAAATGTAGTACTTCTAAGCTTTACCAAACGAGCACTACACTCGCAGAGGATAGAGAGGCGGGCTGCTTGAAAATGGACGCCGCCGGCCTGAGAGCTTCCGCCACCTCTTCCCTTCATTGGTCCAGAGCTTCTTCCCTCCTCCGCCCATTTTTCAAGCCTAATTCATTCCACTTCCCCCTCACTCTTTCCTCTCCACGCTTCTCTCGGCTTTGCTCTCAGCGTATGTATTATGTGTACATATACTGCGGCATAGTTCTATCAGCCTTTTAAATTTCAGTTGTTGCAGTAACTTCTGTAAAAAATATATTTGAAATATGAATTGTTTATCTGTTTAGACACTTTTATTGAATGAAGTCATTGGATTTTATTTTTATTTTTTTCTCTTTGAAATTACAGCTGAAAGGGATCGAGTGAATGCATTGCCGAATGGGGTAGGAGAGGTGGTCGCAGAAGATCCTCAGAGCAAATTTCTTCAAGTGGTATTAGTGTCACCACAGGTATACTTTTTCTAATATTAACTTGATGTATGATTTCACAGTATGCTACCAATTATCATTTATGTTTTGCCATTGAGTGAACCACTGAAACGATAGAAGTTAATGGTAATGTAGATTGTAATATGCATCTAAAATAATTCGGTTTGTTAAGTGGGAGAGATTAAACAGGAAATGAAGTCATTCTCTGTTACATATTGTTAATGGATGACTATATAACAATGAATAAAAGAACGAAATGAAAGCAATGTATCATTAACCGATGGCATAAGAAACGTTTTATTAGATGTGAGTCGAATGAATCTCTGAAGCTTCCATTATGCTTTCATTGATATTTCAATGGAGTTTCTTATAGAAACATTTTGTGCGTATTGGTTGTATTAGAAGGTGGTATAAATTTCAGAATACATTTTTTATGGTGGCTTGATTTACAACATCATTATCTCGATGCTGAATATTAGATTTCTCTTGCCCTTCACAGATTCCTGGAAACTCTGGATGTATTGCCAGAACTTGTGCTGCGTCATCTGTTGGATTACATTTAGTTGAGGTGAATTTTACCAACCTTCTCTTCGTTTTTGATTATTAGCTATGGAATTGAATGGAATGATGAATAAGACAATCTTTTCATTTGTAGTTAATATTCTCACCTGCTTAAACTTTTCTGCAAAGTTTGATTATTTAAAGCTCTTTTTCTGCTCCAGCCATTGGGTTTTCAGGTAGATGATACGAAATTAAAGCGGGCTGGACTTGATTACTGGCCGTATCCTTTACAATCACTTTTTGAAGCTAACTATTTACCAAGTGGTCGAGCCTTTACTTTCACACGAGTTTAAATTTTCCTGCCTTTCATTCAACATGTTGAGAGCCAAGTTGTGGGCTTGTACGCCTAGTACATTTTAGTTTTCTTCCATTATTTTTTCTTCTCGATTTTTTTCTCTTTAATACATATCACTTTTAACATGTATTTGCAACAACCAATGAAAGAGTTTTCTGCAAGATGAGTTTTTCTCCTATGTCTCAAAGATTACTCAGCATAGAAAAGTTAGGCTTGTAATCATTGTAAATATAAAAATATATATATATATATATATATATCATAGTTCACGATTCATGGATTTTTCAAATGATTAACTCTGTATATTAGATATGTGGTAGTCAAAGTGCACAGCTCATGGGCAGAGTTTCGGGAATACTTCAGGCAGCAGGTTATCTCTTTTTCTTTTTCCCAAAGGATTAAGATTAAAGACCTTTAGCCACTTATTGAATGTATAAATACTTTCTTCATCACACAGGAGGGAGAAAAGAGGCTTCTAGCATTTACTAAGAGAGGGACAAATATCCACTCAGTAAGCTTTCCATGCTTTTTCTCCTTTTTGGTTCAGGTTTCGATCCACCTTAATGTTTATAGTTCACATGAAACGGAATAAAACTAGCCTTCATATCTTTAACATACAGAAGTTAGTTTAAATGTTTCCATCACGTATTATTCACCTCTTTTCATCCTTTTCATCTAATTTATAGCGAAACTAGTGACATGTTGATCAATGATTTTCAACCATCGGTCTTCTTTGAGGTGGATCTAGGCTATAGTTGTTCTTTAAGTTTGTCTATTTTTATGAGTGCTAATTTTTTCCGTGTGCCCAATTTGACCTTGATTAAAAAGAAATTGTGGGATTACCCCAGGGACATGGCGCTCAATGAGGACTTCGTGAAGTTGCTTCTGATTTCCAGCATTGTTTTCCTTTTTTAAAGCATATGTTGACTTGGCTCCCCAAAAGCAAAGACGACAAACCCATTTGTGTTTTCCCAGAGGTGTTTAGATTTTTCACAGAAGCATTGAGGGAATGATTCTTACAGTTTCTCAAAGATTGAGAGAAGTCTAATTTTATTGAGGAATGGATTTTACTGTTCTATGCTTGACACAAGTAACCTCATATGGAAAGTGCAAATGATCAGTAACTGTAGCTTTGATTCAAAGTCTTATTCCATGACTCTTTCCTTTTGTATTTTCACGAGGAAAGTGATTAGGTGCCTCATCTTCAGCCATTGTGCTCTTATACGACATTAAAAAGGAACCGAGCACTAACATGTGCATTCACATTTACTCGCATAGCTGTTATCTCTCTGACCTTTAAGCCCCAACATTTAACTTGTTGCTTTAACAAATTTTACTCTTCCGTAATCTAAACTCGTTTTGGTTGGCTGCTTCATTTCATTAATGGCACATTTAGGGACACCTATATCTATAAGAATACAGAAATCACAAATTGAGAAGAACTACATAATTTCTGATTTCTTATTATCCTTTTATTTAACTCTTTGGAAAAGATGATGCCCCAAAACTGTGTTATTTGTATTTTGGAATGACCTTATTTATGTACTTGAATAAAAAATCAGTATATTAAATCATTAACCTTTTTCTGATTATTCTTCGTTTTTTTATCTTGCCTCAATATCTAAGGATGGAATAATTTACCTGGATTGCTTCTTAAATGTGTTTTGTCCACGCATTTTCCTGGTGCATGCTTTAAGGTATATTTATCATTTTCCACTTTTGATTGGATTATGACTATCGACAAGCATATTCAGATCATACAGTCCTCTTTTCCTTGAGCTGTGCAACATTTTCTTCAACTTTCAATAAAGGTCGAAAGAGATCATGCAATGGTTCATGTAGTAGGGCAATCCTAAGAGAAATTGATGAAACTCTTGGGATCTCAAGATCTACCTCCAAAGTTCAATTTTAGAGTTTTTGTTGGAGGGTGAGACGATTACAAATTGTGATGAATTCTAAGTAATTGAAATATTTTCCACCTAACACTGACAGTCTTAGGGTTGAATAATATGAATTTGCTTTAACGGAAGTTTTCTTCATGCAGGAATATTCCTACAGGAGAGGAGATTGGCTTGTATTTGGCTCAGAAACTAGTGGCTTACCCCCTGAAGCCCTGCTCGACTGTAACAGTGAATCTTTGGGTGGTGGCACTATTCGAATTCCAATGGTTGAAACATATGTTAGATGTCTGAATTTATCGGTCAGTGTTGGCATCGCTTTATATGAAGCTTCTAGACAGCTAAACTATGAGCAGCTCCAAAATGCGTCGGAATCTTGTATGGACAGTGAAACACCGTTAGTAACTGAAGACATTTTTGCTTAAAGTTTCTCTATATTGATCTTTTCAAACAGATCAGCTAATTTGTACCCAAAGAAGTCTTGTGAGTAGGGAAATCACAGTTGAATTCTACTTTACTAGGTGCATGTATTAGGACTCTTCTCAAAGTGTAGTAGTAGCATCTTACCAGATAGATACTTTCACTATTTTAGTATATATATATACCCGCGGGACATAGCTTGGGTTACAGCGTTAATAGGCTGGAACTGCTACAGAGGATAGGGAGTCATCGGGCTTCAGACCGGTTTCGATTGTTACCACTGGATCCTGCTCAGCTCATTTTTGCCTTATCAGTAGTCCCTTGTATTCAGGTGTGTTATATGTAAAAGACTGGTCTCGAGAGTAAATTCTTATGGTCAGGTAGGTGTTGGTGACAAACAATATGACTAAGCTCCAGTAGAAGCGTGAAAACCCTTTCTAAGGGCGCAGTCAGAATTTAATTGAAAAATGTCTATCCGCAAGTTGATTCAAAATGAATCAGAAGTCAAATTGCTGCAAAGGTTAGTTATTTTTCTTTACATGGGATAATACTATTTTCTTAGGTTTCACACGATAAATAATAGTAATAAGTTCATTTGGTTTATCAAATTTTTGGTACGGACAGAGTTTAGAAAGGTCAAATGTTTGATGATTCCATCATATTGATCTTTTCAAACAGATCAGCAAATTTGTACCCAAAGAAGTCTTGTGAGTAGGCAAATCACAGTTGAATTCTACTTTACTAGGTGCATGTAGTAGGACTCTTCTCAAGTGTAGTAGTAGCATCTTACCTGATAGATACTTTCACTATTTTAGCATATATATACCCGCGGGACATAGCTTGGGTTACAGCGTTAATAGGCTGGAACTGCTACAGAGGATAGGGAGTCATCGGGCTTCAGACCGGTTTCGATTGTTAGCACTGGATCCTGCTCAGCTCATTTTTGCCTTATCAGTAGTCCGTTGTATTCAGGTGTGTTATATGTAAAGACTGGTCTCGAGAGTAAATTCTTATGGTCAGGTAGGTGTTGGTGACGAACCATATGACTAAGCTCCAGTAGAAGCGTGAAAACCCTTTGTAAGGGCGCAGTCAGAATTTAATTGAAAAAAGTCTATCCGCAAGTTGATTCAAAATGAATCAGAAATCAAATTGCTGCAAAGGTTAGTTATTTTTCTTTACATGGGATAATACTATTTTCTTAGGTTTCACACGATAAATAATAATAAGTTCATTTGGTTTATCAAATTTTTGGTACGTACAGAGTTTAAAAAGGTCAAACATTTGATGATTCCATCATATATGATTGAATTGCAAAAACTTCTTGAGCAGTGCTTCAACTTCAAGAAACAAAAGAATGCTTTCATCTCAAAGTTCAGTCTTAACTCCTTTTTGTTTCAGACGTGAACCGTGTCAAACCATATTTCTCTTATTCGATTAGATTCATCTATGGATGAGCATTTTGTTAGTCAAAAGTAAGTAGTCAAAGTGCGATGGGTCATGAACTAATTGTCCAGCAATAGTTTCATAATCCCTACATAAGATTCCAATATTATCTTAGAGCAGGGATTGAATCAACCCGTCGAAGTAGGGGGTCCCAAAGTTGAAGGGGTGGGTGCTTATCTCGAATTTTTTTTTTAAACATTATCTGCTAAAATGAGGGAAATTGGTACTCTGTGATGGAAAAAGGAAACAATCATTACTCACAAATTAAAAGACGAGAGAGAGCAAAGAAGAATATTGGTCACCTGAAGCCGTGGAGGTGGAGATGTGATTACAGATTAGAATTTTCACCAGATGGACCGTATGCCCACACCAAGAAATCCCTAGTTTCTCCCTCTCTGATGTTTTCTTGATTCTGTATATTGTGGTACATAGAAGGGTACATTTGAAGCTGATTAAATGCAGAAAAATCACTTTCAAGACCAGTAGTTACTGCACTTTGGACTAGATTTTCAGTGAACTTGAGGCCAAAGTTTCCTACAAGCGATGGATAAGTTGTGGTGGCTCCTATTTGTCGCAGCCCGCAAGAAAAAAGAAGAATCACCGCACCGCTTGAAGAGGAGGAAATGAGAGTCAGGACGGAAATACTTGAATTTGGATTGGTAGGGTTTTAAGTTTTTTATTCATTTGAGGACAAGATAGTAAATACAAAAAATAAATTTTTAAAATAAAAAAAATTGTCAAAAAGTTGGGGGATCCAGGTCCCCCCCCACCCCTTCCCTCTGCCCCTGGTCTCGAGCTCTGTTTGGCTATCTTGTTTTTGAATAGAAGTACAAGACAAGATTCTTGAACCAATTAATTTCATCAACAGGCTGACGCCTCCTACATATGTACAATATTACGGTAGACCTGCAGACAGGGACGGAGCCAGCCCGTCGAAGTAGGGGGGCTGCCCCCGAATTTTTTTTTTGAAACATTATCTGTTAAAATGAGGGAAGTTGGTACTTTGTGATGGAAAAAGGAAACAATCATTACTCACAAATAAAAAAACACGAGAGAGAGCAAAGAAGAATATTGGTCACCTGAAGCTGTGGAGGTGGAGATGTGATTACTGATTAGAATTGTCACCAGATGGACTGTATACCAAGAAAATCCTTAGTTTCTCCCTCTCTGATGTTTTCTTGATTCTGTATATTGTGGCTCATAGAGGGGTACATTTGAAGCTGATTAAATGCAGAAAAATCACTTCCAAGACCAGTAGTTATTGCATTTTGGACTAGATTTTCAGTGAACATGAGGCCAAAGTTTCTTACGAGTGATGGGTCAGTTGTGGTGGCTCCTATTTGTCACAGCCCGCAAGAAAAAAGAAGAATCATCACACCGCCTGAAGAGAAGAGGAAACGAGAATCGGGACGGAAATGCTTGAATTTGAATTGGTAGGATTTAAGTTTTTTATTCATTTGAGGACAAAATGATAAATACAAAAAATAAAATGAAAAAATGAAAAAAATTGTCAAAAAATTGATGGGTCCAGGTCCCCCGCTCCCTCCGCCCCTGGTCTCGAGCTCTGTTTGGCCATCTTGTTTTTGAATAGAAGTACAAGACAAGATTCTTGAACCAATTAATTTCACTTTAGAAGTGACTTCCAGTATAGGCATCAAACCAAACATTTTACGGCTGAGGTATACAACTAAGGAGGCAGATATCAATCAAAATCAAGTAAATTCTAGCATTGAAGGAACGGATAATCATAAACAAGCTGAACTGCATCACGACATAGTCCATAGAAATAGATGTCTCCAAACATACATTAAATAGTCTAAAGATAAAATCAGGGGTATAGCAAAATTGGGCTTCAGTAAGATTCTAAAACAGAAGTTTACTCTTCGTCCTCAATAACTTGGGTGCCCAATCCCTTCAACCCACCATCCGGAATTTCTGCAACGGTTACTAAAGAGTAAAGCTCCTCTTTCGCATCTTCGTCATCATTCCTCTTGCGTGCAATGCGGACCCGGATTCTCCTTGGCACACTACGAATTCCACGGCTCCATATCTGCTTGTTCAACTTGACATCAACTCGAACATCTGTAGTCCCCATGGCCTTCTGGGCAAACTTCCTGATTTCCTTGATGGCTTTTGGAGCCTTCTTCTTGAAGGTGCTGCAGGCATATCCATTACACAACAAATTAAACATCAAATTTTTACCAAATCAATATAATCAGATGCGGAGATATAGCAGAGCATCCATCAAAAGAACAGTAGATGCATGAAAACAAGGTAGCAAATAATGCTGCAACTTCAAACCTTTAGAGATCATAAAGAAACCAGTTTCACTTTCACTTTAATCAACTAGGTTTTAATCCAGATTGTGTAAAAATGTAAATAAATTTAGAAAGCCACCTTTTATGCCATATCCATGAGAAGAAAATGAAACGTCTCCTTATTTTAGAGTTTGGACACTTTGCCATTTAGCCAAAAACTGACTCTTTTTCATAGTTATTATACAAGAAACGTCTGTCCAACAAAAATTTCCAAAATATAATATTTACCCAACTTCGGACAGACCTTTTCCATTTATCACTGTATGAACTTCAGAATGAAAGCAGTCATGTCAGATTGACAGCACACTAAGATGATAGTGCACTTAGCTAACAATTGCAGTAAACATTAAACCACCAACCATTACACAGATGCAAATAAGAATGTATTTTGCTTCAAACAGAAAATTGTTCCTCAGAAATAAGTTTGGAGCTCTGAAAGAAATCCATAACACAGACTAATTGCATTTTAAACTGCTTTGGGCATTAATAGTTCATTATGAATAGGCAAAAGCTTATATGAACGTTAACAATTAGATTCCTTCAATTTTACACACACTTGACACTTCGTGATGGTCGCTTTATAGGCATACGCTCATATTAGGTAAACTATATTTCCAATGCAATCATTTATATTTCCATTTCAAATTCGAGATTCATATGTAAATACAATAAAAATAATTCACTTCTTTCATTTTTTTCTAACACAGAAGCACAAAGGTAAAAGGTGAGATGTGAATTTCGATAAAGCTATCCGATTTATGAATCGATGAAAACAAAAATAGACACGACTTGATTCTATCGACCAACGTAATTGCAAGAAAGCAGTCAAACTTAACCCCAACAGTTCAACAAAGTAACAATAAACAAACTAATACAGATCTGAGCTGTTTGAAAACACATATATATACAGATATACACGCATGGACACATTAAAGAACATATTCGAATATATATTCAAAGTGGGAGAAAAATGTACCATCCATGGAGACGTTTGTGAAGATTGATGGTGTACTCCCTTGAGACAACCTCCTCTTTCCTGGCCTTGCTGCCTTTCTCCACCATCGTTGCTGTTACTCTTCACCAAATTCACCACTTTTTTTCCTCTGGAGAGTTTGGGGCAAATGAAAAGGAGAAACCCTATTATATGTGGTTGATTTTCCGTGAGCTGTTAGGGTTTGTTGAGTAGAGCCCAATTGTTAGTTTTGTGTAGCCCAATGTACTTGCGGGTTACGGATAAGAGAATTAAACATGGGAAGATTACATATTTAAGAGTATAAGTTTAGTTTATTTCAAAAATAAGAATACAAGTTTAAAATTATCAAAATCAGATTTTTATTAAATTTTTTAAATTTTTGTTTATGAAATAATAAATTATTAAATTAATTTATTATTAAATATTTAAGTCTAATATAATATAATTAACTCATCCCACCTTTACCACCCCTACTGCTCCGACAACCGTTCCGATCACCGCCTTACTTCGGCAAACTTTTCGAAAACTTTCCGGTGAGCTTTTCCGGCGACTGTCCGATGAAGTTTTCCGGTGACTTTTTCGATTCTAACAATTATTTATCTTATTAATTAAATATTTATTTATTTTATTAATTAAATATAATGATGTTATAATTATACAATTAATGGTCACATATACATAATTAATTGGTCACAAATTATTTTTGAGGTCACAAATCAAAAAAATTATAGATCACGTTTTTTTTATTAGTCACAGATCAAAAATTTTGTAAGTCACAAATATGTTACATATTATTTTATTGGTCACAGATCAAAAAATTATAGGCCACAGTTATCTATCAGTCACATATTTTCAAAATTATTGGTCACAGTTTAATTTTTAATCACAATTTTAAAGTCACAATTAGTTTTTTTTTTTCTTTCGTGACCACCCCATTGACCACCACAAATTTCTATGACCAACCCCATCGCAGATTAATTTTTAGTCACAATTTTANGTCACAGTATATGGCTCAGGTCACAGCATCGGTCACTTCTGTGACCACCATTGTTACCACCACCGACTTCCGTGACCACCATTGTGACCATCCTCACCCGCCAACCGCCGCCACCATAACAACAGCACCACCACCAACAAATAGCCACCACCAGATCCAGTCAACTGCTAACAAAAAGCATGACAATCAACTCTATCAAATCTCCAGGCACATAGACTATACAGCACCACTTCAACACCACTACCACAAGACCACCAAGAAATATCGACGCACCACCACAAATCACCAAAAACCACATCAACA